GTCTGTCTGTCTGTCTGTCTGTCTGTCTGTCTGTCTGTCTGTCTGTCTGTCTGTCCCAGCACCATTTGACCACTGTTGTGTCGATGTGCTTCTCTTTACTTAAACAAACAACAAGCAGAGTTGGTAAGAAGAGTATTAACTGATTTTCAGTCCGAAAACATAATTCAGAATTCAAAAACAATATTGTTATTTTCATTACAACGGCTCAACGTTTCGTCCCGAAAGTTTCTAGAGCAACCAACATCATCATCACCACTACACTACTACTATCACTACCGACCACCACTATCACTACCACAAAGACCACCACCACTACTATCACCACTATCATCACGCCCATATCTTCAGCAAACATCAAAAAAGGCAAACATAAAAACTTCGAATCAAAACAAACAATCACCCCTGCTGAACCACGGAGACAATTGATTCACAAATGGAAAAACTTTTGATTGGAAGTTTGAAGAAGCAGATGTCAAACAGAGAGTTTCTCGACACACAGTTTGCGGAGTGTGCATGTAGCAGTCCTGAGCAGTCCCCATCTCCCGCCCGCTGTCTCTGTCTGTTCTGTCTGTCAGCCTGGTAGTACCGGGCTGCGAGGTTCCCGATTATTGAAAGCTTGGAATCGTTGGGATCGACTCCGAACCCAATTGAAGAGCACGGGGGAAAACGACAGTAGTCACAAACTAGGAATTTTGAGGGTGCCGATAATTTTAAAAGCTGGTGGACTCATACCTTAATAATATTTGTTTGACTGATGGTTTATTGTTAAGTGTTGTTAAATGGGAAGTCTAACTACAATAATCAACCAACAGTTGAACAGAAATACAGTAATGAGTCAACAAGTGTTCGAAAATTTCACGATTTTCAGTCTGTGACTATAGTCATTTTTCCCCTATAGTCTTCAGTCACTGACTTAGATTATAATGATTTCTTCCGGTGGTTACCTGGTTGGCTCAGAACATCTTCAGGATTTAGGATAACCTTGATTTCGGAACACTTCGAAGCATCAACTTTATAAAATAAATTAATTTTTTTTAAATGTTTAATGAATAAAGTAACTGGTAATCGTTGGTTTACGTAAAAAGGAGTCGGAACTTTTCTTCCATAGCATTAATCGTTGAAATCGGTTCTAGAATCGATTCTTCGCCCAGCTCTTGTGCCGGGGGCTGTGTACTGCCGTCTTCTCGTTCAGGGGAGGGAAGATAACCCCCGTGGTCTCTGCTGTTGACTGTCGTGCCGTCTCTCTGTGGTCAGTGTTGATACAGGGACCCAGGCACAGGTCACCACCAGACCCGTACCCCAAAATGGCAAAGTTCTATTTTCTCAGATTCTAGTTTTCAGAAATTTGACGTTAAAAAAAGGTTAAGTTTCACAA